TGTAAAGCCATGTGACTGGAAAAAGATGCCTGCTCTCCCATGTACACATGGAACATAAACGTAGGATGAACAGTGCTCCTACAAACAGGATAGATGGTGGCTCTGTGTGTGCATGGGATTAGAGCTGTAGCACAAAGGGATGTTCTCAGGCTTGGGAAACGACGTGGATGGCTGTGTGCTGAGGGCTGGGCACAGGTGGAGGGCCAGCTGCTTTGTAGGTTGTGCACAGGTGTCCTCAGGCTGCTAATTGAAGGCCTTTTGATCTTGCCCAAACATGCTGGCTGGGCACCGTTCCTCCTTGCTGGTAGGGAAGTTCAGTGCTGTTCTGCAATACCACCGAGATATAATTATTAATAAAGACAGGAGCTGATGGTTACTCTAGTGACATAGAAACATCTGTCTCTTTAGTCTTTTTTCCTTAGGACCAAGAGACTGTGAAGTATTGCTCTGTGCAGCTTGGGATGGGAGGAATGTAAGTAACTGTTTTCTGGGTTTTAGGTTCTTGGGAAGTGATGCCAACCTGATGTGCTCAGAGTTAAACAGAGTCCTCTTCCTCCACTTTGGCAAAGGCAGGACATGTACAATGGCCTCCAACACTCCTGCAGCTGCAGGTTTTGTTTTTTGTCCAGTGTCTGCAGGAGCATATTTGAAACTCCTGGTTATGTTCTGCCCTGGGGAACTACTGCCTTTGTGCCGAGGAAGCTGGAAGAGCTGGGGCTGCAGGAAAAAAAGAGCAGAGGTCTGATTCACAGAGTGATGGTCTCTGCCGTGCTTATAAATGCGCACATGATGGCAAAGGTACTCCTTGTCAGTGTCTAGTAGGCTTTAAGAGGACACTTATGATGGTCTGTCTGGAGAGGGGATGGTGGTGTTGGGAACCAAATAAGTTCTTGATAGCTTCTTCGAGTAACGTACTCCCTAGATACACCCATAAGATTTCATTTTCTATGTCAATACTTGCCCAGCTCTTTCCAGGGCAGCTAAGTGGTTCAAGATTCAGTTATTTAGCTTGATGTATTTGAAATCCAATTTCAGAACACTCTGATTTTCTGTGAAGAATTTTAGATTCTTGGCATGTGTGTAAATCAGGCCATTGGTACCAAAAATTAGAGGAGCTACCACGAGCTTTGTTCTGATTTTTTAAATGCAGATATAACACTTGTTATAAATGAGATGGATTGTCCTTGTTCAGAAAACAATCTGCCAGTTATGTGAACAGATTTGGACCCATTGGATTGATATGTGGCTTCATTGCTGTGAGAGCAGGAGGTAAAAGAAAGTTTAGATTCCTTGTTTTCTAGATTCTTTGCCAGTCAAAAAGGCAAGTTCATTCCTCTTGTTATCCTGAAACCTATCAGTAAGTGATGTTGAAACTTTCAACCTCTAACTTGAATAAAAGTGAATAGGAGCCTCTGAAGGTCACCGAGGTCTCCTTGGGCACAAACTGCAATGGCTGAATGAATCGCACTAACAAAACCATCTCTTGTGATGTGGAAATGAGTTTCACGCCTTCCTTCTCATGTGGTCTTTGTGTACAAACAGCTTTGCTTGTAAGTGTCAAAGGGCAGGGGAAATCTGTAAAGGGGGAAGGTATTTCCCATGTGTGACAGGCTGTCCTGCTTCGGTCACGGCAGAGAATCACGCCTTTCTCTTTGACCTGGTTTTTGAGGCTCTGGTCCAAGAATGTGACACTTTTTCCCTTTCTTGTGTCATGTCTGGCTGCTGTGTTCAGTGACACTTCCTTGAGAGCAAGCGGAACATATCCTTGTGTGCTGAGGCGTGAGACTTGTTGGCTGCCATCCCTCAGTGTATTCTGACCTCTCCAGTATTTCTAGCTTCATATCCCCAAATCAGTTAATCAGTCATCTTGTGCTCCCTCCCCAAATTACCACTTCCTGGGCAGTCACTTAGAGAGATGCAGCTGAGAGACTCTGTTTCCCAGATGATGATTGCATGTGGATGAGCTCCTGTAGCTTGTCTGATGCTGATCAAACAGTCTCCAAGTGACAGTGATCAGACAGGTGGATGTTTGATCTGATCTAGTAACAGCAGTGGCTGTTAGTTGAGTTTTCTGGATTCTTTCCTCAGTGTTGCTCCACTCCCTGGGACATTGCTGTGAGCCTCAGGAAATGTGTTGGTAAATGATGTTTGTCTCTTGCAGTAGAGTGGCAGGTCCTGGTAGTTTGCTTCTCTGCAGTGCTTGGAAGCCTTCTGCTGAGTGCTTCCTTTGTCTGTCTGGGAAGCAAAGAGGTGCAGGTTGTGGCTCATCCTAACCTCTTATCTTACTGTGGTTTTGCAGATTTCTGTGCCAGTGGTTGTGGCTTGGGTGACATCCAAGGAAAAGGCTTTCCTATTCAGCTACCAATCCTTTTTTTCTGCCTGTTGTGTTTTCCACACATTTTCATTCCAAGGCTTCTGATCTTTATCAGCTATGTTTTTTTCCTCTCCGTTTTCGTGGTTTTTCCTCTCCTTCAGTTGCAACACTATAGGTATCAGAAAAGGGTGATGCTTTGCTAAAGGAGTTTTCTTTGCTCCCCTCCTGGAACAGCAGTCAGAAACCTGCATGATATGACAATATATATCACAACACTTTGGTGCCATGTCACATGATTGAGGAAAAATGATGCTGTGAAGAACAGAGCAGTTTTAGAGCAAATTGGAGCTAGCAAGCTGGGACCACTTCACATGCCTGACTGCACGATGCTGAACAGAACTACAAATGTCAGGACTCTTCCAGGAAATTCAGGGTGGGTGGTAGGCTGTGACAGCTGAGCTCCATGTTTGTCATGCCCTGAGAAGTCCTCGCTCGTTTGAGGATTAAACTATAGCTACTTCCCCGACACAGAACTGCTGCCAAGATTCCAGTCTGGCTCAAGCCACTCTCCACACTTCATAATGAAGTTTGAGAGAGCTTTAACATCTTGGTGTTGGCAGAAACATGGTTTTAAAATCACAGTGTGGTTGGAGACTAGCTGGCTCTGGACACTGGCAACGGGGCTGGAGACTTTCATCTCAAGGTCAAATCCAACTGTGGTGTTAGTGACAAAGTCATGAACTTCTGACTGATGGTTCGGGGCTTACGTGTGGAAAGATGTCTTGAGTCCAATGCCAGGACTGGGAGTCGGGAGACTTGGGTTCAGTTCCTGAACTTTGCCAGATCTGTTCTGAGACCCTCAGCGAGACACTTGAAGTCTTCATGCCTTTAGGTCTCTCTGTGAGAAAGCACTGAAGGTCTACCTACGTCAACGTGGTGCCAAGTCCTCAAACTCACTCATGACTGTAAACTCCTGAAATACCACTGGATGTAGAAGTGCAAAGAACTAGGTGGGACGAGCTGGCTCTGTCCAGCCCGTATTAGACAAGTGCCTGGATCACAGTTGTCAGTGTTAGCGGTAACTGGCGTGCTTTTTGGCAACTCAGAGGGTGAGGACGTAATGTTCTCAGGAGACAGCGTTGCTCTCCCATCGCTGGGTGATGCTGTTCCAAGTGCAGGCCCCCATGTGCTCAGGAGGAAGCTTGTGCAGCCCTCCTCTCCGGTGGCTATAGGAGAAGTTGCTTTCTGTGTTTGGAAGCTGGAATAAAAAATCAGCAACAGCTTACTGAGAAATTAGTTTCCCAAAGGCTGTGTTAACCGTGACTAAGCTGCTGCCTTCCTTCCAAGACACACATGGGCAGCCTCTCCTGGCAAACCTTTGTTACTGCTCTTCAGAGTAACTGTACCAATGTCACTGCAGTGCCATCCTGGATGTACACCTGTGCCTGCTACCCCTTGGAGGGGTTTTGGAAGAGATTCATGCCATTTCTAGCTCCGTTTTGGTCTAGTGCCCAGCTGAGCCCAGTCCAGTGCCGCAGGCAGAGCCGGCTTGGGCAGCACTCCGTCTCCTGGCGGCTCTCGGCACTGCGGGAGGAGGCTTTTTCCCTGAGGACACCCAGGTGCTCTGGGCTAGTGTCTGCCTGGCCTCGAGAGAGAAGCACAAAGCTGCAGCCTGCAACACTGTAATCCCAAAGCTTCAGCCTCTCCCTGTGCGTGCCAAATTCCTTTGGCTGTTAAATAAGGGTAGGAATTTCGAGGGGAGCTTGTAGAGTATGACTTCTGTGTTTGCTTTTAGCTTCATGAATAGCAGCAGTGACTTGTCTGGCTGAATACTGGGAGAACTCTGATTTGCCAGCTTTGAAGGGCTGCTGTGTTAAAAGGGAAGCTGGCATTTCTGCATCGGTCCGTTCTGCATTGATTTCAGAGTCACTAGTGCCTTAGACAGGTCTGCTTGTGTCTGCAGGTAGCCCTCTAAGTTTCCAGAGGGGTATGTCAGAATTTGTGCTTTAATTTGGGCCCTGGGGGTGCTGTGTGCTGTACATAGAGCTAACAAACATGTCCTGCAGTATCTTGGCTGTGTGAGGAAGAGTGTAACCCTATTTCAGGTGGGGAAAACTGAGGCGCAGGTCAGTTAGCTGGAAAAAAGGCTCCATGCAGATGTAGTGTTGTGTCATTGTGATCTTTGTCACACTGATGTGTCAATACATCCCAGATTTGAGTAGTGCAGGTGGGAGAAGGGAAAGCACCCAAGAGATTTATGCAATTTTTGTGAGAGTAATGTTTTTGGAAACTCTGTTAGTATTGAGTGAGGAAAGGCTAATGCCAGTCTTTGTTCAACATTGGAGAAATCCATGTGGAGGTAGAGTGAGGAAAACAAGAGTTGTCATCTCTGTTGCTTGCAATGAGTTGGTAGTGCTGGGACTTCCACAAATCATACTGGTGTTATTTGGGGTAGAGGTGTGGGGAAAAGCCAGAAGAGTATTAGGGCTTAAGGAGAAAAAAAATAAAGGGTTGTCACATCAGATCAACACTGTGGTAAACCCTTGCTCTGTTACTTTGTGTGTCTCCTTTTTCTGCAGCTGAGGGTGGCTGGGTTCTCTGGGGATATGTCCAGGCAGGAAGATGTGCTATGCAACACCGCCCTCGAGCAGACAAGTGCATTCTGCTGACTTCTTGTTTGTGTTAGTTACAGGACTCTCATCAGGCCCACGTACAAAATGTCCTACCGAACTGTGACCACGCTGGAGTGGAGGTGCTGTCCTGGCTTCACAGGGAGCAACTGTGAAGAGGGTAAGTTATCCAGCAATGTATCTGCCCTTACAGAGCAGCGAGGGGATATGTGGGTGGACTGGCTGCATTGAGTTGGGTTTTGTTGCTTAATTTGCTCTACACCGCTCAGAGGAACAAATCACCTGTTCTCTTCGTTCCCCATTGTTATCTAAATGCTCGCACACAAGCTCTGAAAGGTGGTCTTGGAAGACCAGCCATACCGAATGCTTGCAAAGAAACCTGAACAGAGAGAGGAAAGAAACAAAGAAATGGGTACTCAGGGATGACCTGTTTGTAGGTGTGCTCATGGTTGGTGTCCCCATTGCACAGTCCTTCAGAAAATGCACATTCTCCGTGTCAATGTGTCATCTTCTCCATATCCCACGCCATCGCCACTGGTTGCTGTAGCTGGTGAAGGGTGGTCCCTGGATGGCTGCTTGTAAGAATTAAGCCTGTAAGGTCTGGACACAGATAATATGTGTTCCCAGGGAGCTTTGAATTAAATTAGGCACTCTTTGTCCCCCTTCCCACCTGCCCCCTGACTTATGGTGCAGCAGTTCAAGCGGCATAGTGCATGTGAAAACAGTTCTGGATTTGGCATCTGATCTTTCACATGGAGGAAAACGCAGTGCTTTTTCCAGAGCTGGAAAAAAGGAAAGTCTTTTCCCTTTCTCATTATGATGGACAAGAGGGGCATGTTTTGCATTTTCCTTCCTGATGTTTTCTGCTTTAACTGTTGCTTCTGGGGCTTTGAAACAAGTCCTGCTTGTCCATTGAGTTTCAGGTTTAGGCACTAAGCCATCTGCTGAATCTGTGTCACAAGTGCTCATGGCTTATGAATGGGAGATAGACTGAGCCTTCAGTTTTCTGTTTATTTGCATTAGGTCAACACAGCCTGCATCTGCTGGCTGGCGAAGGGTCATTGGGGGTGTCTGAAATCTCTTAGACTCCGCTGTTTGTAGCTGTACCTTGTTTTCTTTGTGCTGTGGTGTCTCAGTGCTAATCATACAGCAGGCAGATCTCTAATTAGGAAGTTGTCTCGTTACAGTCACAAAGAATGATGGTTGAAGACAGCAGCTTGCTTCAGGCTGCTGAGGAAACAATTGCTTTCCAGAAGCTCAAGAAAAGTCTTAAATGATAAAGCTACCCTACATTGTAGTCTGCAGGAGAGAGCTGTGCATTTGAGCATGCTGCTAAAAGATGTGAGCCTGGGAAAGAGAAGCTGCTGTGTGCAGCTTGCATTTTTACCTGTCACTGCAAGGGAGAGGGATGCTAAGGATTGGGGCAGAACTGTTATTTCCAAAGTAGCTGTGGCTCAGCCTGGCTGAGGATCTGACTGGGGACCCGAGGAGCTTGTGTGTGCAGCCCATTCGTGCCTGTAGGTTTGGACAGGTGTGAGTAATTACGGCTTAGTGGTGCTTCTGGTGTAAAGGAGAGAATCCAGCTCCCTCCCACAGTGCCAGATCTGTCTCAGCAGAGTTCAGTGGAAATAAAAAGCCAACATAAGCTTGTTTGAGAAAGTCAGCAGCGATCTCACAGGAATGGGTCTGTGGAACGAGGTGACAATTTTATGCAGTTAGTTTTCAAGGTGGAACTGTTCTTTTGGGCTTGGATATGGTCTGTGGAGTGTGAGCAGAAAGCCAGTAGCAAGCCCTCACTTTCATGTGTGATATTCTTTTTACCTTTTTTTCCTCCCTAAAACGTCTGGTGCTACCGGCAGTCCCATACTCTTGAAAGAAGGAGGAAAATAAAAGAGAGACCACTTTGTAGTACAGCAGGGTTGTGCCACTTAATTTCTAGCAGCAGTATTGGCATTAGCGTGCAGAACACCTCAAGCTGTTCAGAGGCATCAATTTTAAAATTGAAGTATTTACTTGCTCCTTATGTTAATTCTTAATATTAGTGTCACTTGGAAGTGTAAGTAAAAAAGGCCAAAAGGAGTTTTTTAGGGCTTTTTGGCAACTTATATAAAGCCTTTTGTACTTTCTCCTTTCTGCACTCTCTCCTACTACAAATTTCTCTGAGAAAAGACCAGCGAAAAAGGGCCTCTGGTTCTGCTGAGAGGGTGGGATGCTTACATCTGTATGGGTCCTTCCTGGAAACAGCAGACAAAAGAAAACAGAAAACTAAACTGAAACAAAACAAAACCAGTGCAATTAGGAAGCCACAGCGAATTAGCAGGGTAGAACCTCAAAATGCTTTCATCTTTTTTTGGTACTAGTTAAACTTCACCTCAGTATTTCATTTCACTTGTATATGCAGCTGGTGCTTTGGAAGTTGATGTGAGGTAGGCATGATTGAAGGCAGATCAGACCTGCGCTATTTTCAGCTTGCCTCTTTCCTGTATTGCAAATGCTCTCATTCTCTGACAGTCACTGGTGTTCTCCACTGTCAGTAGAATGGCAACTCCAATGGCTCTGAGCTTCCACTTCAAGATGTCTCTCTCCTCTTTCCAGAGACTGAAGGAAAAAGTTTTCTTTCCCAGTGGGCTCTGGAATAGTAACGTTGCATTTCCGTGAGTAGGGCAGAGTAAACCAGGACATAACGGATTGATCAAGCACTTTTGTGAGTTGTGTGTGTATGGGCACGGCTGTGGAGGTCCCTTCTTTGGAATGATCATGCTTTTTGCATCTTGAGGCTTGAGAGATCTATCTGTTGAGTCCTCCTTTAATCCCCAGTGAGCAGGATTGGTGCCTGCTCCTTTTTTGTGCCGTTCTGGATTGTTTGGAACAGTGTCTCTGCGGGGAAGCCACTGTAGCCTGTCTGGAGGATGGATTGCTTTTACTAGCTATCCTTTTATGAGCCCTTCCTTGCCCTTTTTAAATTTGTTTTATTTCTTTTAGTATTTTATGGGGGGAGATATGATGGTGGGAGGACGAATGAAGGAAACCAAGTCAAAGAACTTGCAATCATTCAAAGGCTGCAGTGCAGCTATTTCCGACGTACATACTTTTGTGTTATCTCCTAAATGGCAGGTCAACTTTTCTTTCGCAAATGCAGGCCAGCGTGGATCTCTAGCCCCAAAGTATGACAGACTCCGGATGAGACTGGCTTACTGTAACACACCTTCAATGGGAAAACTGCCCTTCCACCCTAACATACTGCACACTCATAGAGCAAGCTGTTAAATGCAATTTGACTATTACAAAGTATCTTGACCCTTCGCTAATAAGTTTAGCTTGAGAAAGTAACCACTTAGCTGTCACCAGCTGGCAGGCACCTACATTAATGCTGAAGGCTGCACATTGTTTAGATTGAAATTATCTTGGGAATTTAACTCTTGCATTTTTGCTGATAAAGAGCAGCATCATCTGGAGGAAGCCCAGCTCTCAAAGTGGGTGGAGATTTTGCTACTCAGTGGGCTACTAATTTACTGAGGTGGGGATGGCTGCTTCCAATCTGTTTCCCTTCTTAAGTCCACACTGCTTGGAGCTCTCCCCCCTTCCCTTTGTGGCTTTCCCCTCACCCAAAGGTATGTCAGCATTTAAAAGGTTTCTGATTCCTTTGTTGTTTTTGTAGAACTGTGACCAGCTAGTTGAGTAGATAGTTAAAAATCACCAGTTGTACTAGGGCTTCCCAAAGGGTTTCTTGCAACTTTCTTGGATGGAGAAAACACTTGATGGAAACAAGCCTGGTGAATTTAACCGTCAGTAGATGCTAATTTTTATTTTCCAGTTTCAGGGTTTTTTGTTTTGTTTAAACTAGAGCCCAAGCCTAGGACAGGAAATGAATCCACTGAGCCACCCAGTCTGCTGACTGCTGATATAAAGAACATATGGACGAGGGCAGTGCAGAGGTGAAGTGGTTTAGCTATTGCAATCATGCATCAAGCTGATTGATTTGAATCCAAGATGACGCTGAAATTTCAACTCAGCCTTTTTTCTATGTGGCTGAAGGTTCAAAGGCAAATGTACTGTCTTGGGAGGGAAAAGTGTCCCTAGCAAGTTCAGGAGCTCAGCACTGCCCTACAGCTCTCCAGCTAGGCAAAGTCTTATTTCACTTTACAAATCTAACATAGATTTATTTCTTGTTTGTTAGTATTGCTTGAATCTGGGACAGTAACCAGTATCCTGTATTTACCCCTGAAGCAGATTGATGGTAGGCAGCTTAGGTGTTTGGGCAAGAAGCAGCTTTGAGAGTAGCCTCAGCACCTCTAAAGTGATGCCATTGTGATTCCAAGCTTACCTTTTTTTTTGTTTCCAGAAGAATACAAGTAGGATAGGAAATCTGAGCAGCCTTGTTCAAGTAATGGTTTAATTTGAGAAGTTTCCCCCACCCCACTTCAGTTCTTGGAATATATTTATCTACTTTTAACAAATATTGTTTGCACCTTGTCATCCTGATGTTTTTCAAACCTCTTGGATTCTCATGTGTTTACAGTTTTCAAAGCAGCATAAGAAAATGAGGACTTTCTTCTCGGTATGACAGAGGACAAAAACCTCCTCCTTTTTTACTGCTGGTTCTCAAAGTTTCTTTGTCTCAGGAGGGGAGATACAGAACAACGCTGCCAGGAAAATCTTAAACTGGCAAATGCAAATATGATACAAAATTCGATGAGGCCGTGAGAATGAACATCAAAACTAGAGGCCTGAAAGTTTGAAAGCCCATTAAAGTGCTCTAGAAGGAAGAGCATTCAAAGTGGTGTTGATGGGACACTTCTCAGGTCTTGGTTTGCTCCCCTGTGAACCTTTAAACACAGAACTGTCAATGTGTGAAAATACAATGTGAAGATTATGGACTAACATTTCCCATAATATCACAGTTGTTCTTTTCAGGAGTTGAGCTTGTGCGAGTTTTACTTTTGTCGAGTACTTAAGTTCCTTCTCATTTCTTCCTCATAGCCACTGTTTGGAAGCAGGGGAGGTAAGTCTCTATATCGCACACAGCGAGCAGCAGAGCTCTTTGCTGCCACTGAGCGTTTTTCATCTTGCCCTTAGAAACTGAGAAAATGTAAGAGAAGACAGCGGGGGTCAAGAGAGGCATTGCACTACCTGTTCCTGTTTGCTGCTAACTCCTAGTGC